GCTGTATTTTAAGCTTATCTATTTCACGCACGAATTTGCAGCAAACCTACTCTTTCCAATTCTTTCTTGGATTCAAAAGATTCGTTCATAAATGTTATAGAAAAATCAAATTAGTCTAACCTACTCTATTTGACGATGCTATATTTTTCAAATTAAATCGAACGCCATTAAAAAATACAAATAATTTTAATCATGATTGAAAAACAAATAAAGAGTTAAAAACAACAACAATGAAGAAAAAAGAGAAAAACATACCTGGAATGGTAAAGATCCCGGTTGATAGGAGTGAAAGAAGGTTGAGTGAGATCAGCATCTGCTCTAGCGATAGCAATAGAGGGAATTGGCAAAGAGGCAGAAGCGGAGAGGAGATAATAGACGATAAGAAATAAACCACCCATCGCCGATAAAACCAGAAGAATCACGCTGACTCCGCGGGTGGTGGACTGGACGGGGCGGGCTTCTCTGTTAATTTCCATTTAGTTTTTCTGGGAATATATAGTATAGAAGATATATACTTTCACTAGATGACTGGAATTTGCAGTTTTACTTTCATAAGATTAATTATTGCTTTTATAGGTTAAAAAGTTAATGAAATTATTATAATCATTAATAAAAAATAAATTTATTTTAATACTTTTTTAAGAATTACCCGATCAATGATGTATTAATTATTCATACATATTTGGATGATGATGATTAATGTTAATACCAATGAACGAGAATATAGCGGATTAAATTTTTTAAATAGTTATAAAATATTATATATTCATATTTTTTTTTAATTATTAAATAAATATTAATATTAATATTAGATAAAATAATAGTAATAAACGATTATATAATAAATGTATTCAAAGTGACAACGTTAAAATATAATAATAATATAATTAACTAATGAATGAAAAAGTAATGACTGAAACTTAGCTTTCGATGAAAAAATTTCAATCCATTACATAAATGCAATTAAAGTGAAGACGTATAAAAATGTTATATATCAATTAAACTAAAACTCAGTCAACAACTTCTTTTTATTGTAATTTTTTAATTAATTAAAATAAGAATTAATTGTATCACATATCCTCAAAGCATGAGCTTCATTTTAAATTGGTCCTTAAACTTTTAAATGTTTCAATTTAATTCAAAAATATGGTTATCATTCTAAATTAGTCCTTAAACTTTGAATATTTCAATTTCATCACCAAACCATAACTTTCACTCTAAATAAGTCCCTAAACTTTTTGAACATTCCAAACTATGATTGAACCTAATTACTTATTTGGATGAATTTGAGGATGAAATTAAAATGTTCAAAAGCTTCAACCATTTTAGAGAGAGGGTCATAATTTAGGGATGAAATTAGAGCGTTCAAAAGTTTAAGGATTAATTTAAAATGAGAGTCGTAATTTAGGGATGAAATTGAAATATTCAAAAGTTCAAAAACCAATTTAAATAAGAGTTATAGTTTGGGGATATATATACTAATATGTTTTATCTTGCAATCTCTTGTAACATTTTAATATCTTTCTCTATGACATCGCAACTTTGAATTCTTCAGAACTAAATGTCAACTGTGGTTAATTAACACAACTTCAAATGTTAGATGATCTGTCTTCTTCATTGTTAAACAACAATCCAGTCCCAGAATACTTGATAGAGTTCTACCCAAAATAAAAGAGGCAAGACATCGCCATCAAAAGTCAGGTTTTGTAAAGAAACTTCCAAGAATCAGCTGTAAGAATTGTTTGCTGCAGAGTCTTTGCCTTGAGTCGCCGGCTATTTCTCGCTTTAAACAGATTAAAATGATTTTCGTGACAGTTATTATTATATGTACCGAGGTCTATGTAGTGATCATAAGATATATGAGGCCTTTTAGGTACTCTACGATTTCAGATCCGCCGATCTTTGAACTTCCGAACACTCTGTCAACAAAAGTTATCGGAACCTGTAGACAGTAGAAAACAAATCAATGAGATTGAGAAAGGTGGCTTAAAGATGAAACAGGGGACGGGACGAAAACCAAATAGGGTATAAAGCATATGAACAGACTCCAACGTAGATAGTTTCTGTACTATCTGGTAAATGCAGGGGAGGACATTCAAATGTAAGAGTTGATGATGGTAGTTTCCATCACCAATTCTCGTCTATAGATAAATAGGAAAAGGGTGAGTATTTGATGCACTAACAGTGTATAATTCCATGCATCTTCATGCTCACTGGCAGTCGGTGCAAGAAGAAAGTTCACTCGAGGTTTGAATATCTGTTAGCTTTGTTCGTTAGAGTACAACTGATGAAATGAAGTTTACCTCTTCCATGCGATATCCTTTTCTTGAAGCCCTAACAATCATCTCCATTTGAAATACGTATCCCTTGCTAACACAGGAGGAAATGACATCTTTGAGGACCGATTTCTTATAAAGCCTTTTTGAAGAGGAGAAAAAGAAATGTTAGGTCTAAAGATTGAAGCTATAACAGCATGAAATAGCCCATTTTCTGTTTTGATTAGTTCTCACACCTGAAGGATCCAGTTAAGTCCGATACACCAGGCCACAAAAGAGTCTGTGCAAGAACATTGGCTCCCCTACTCGTTAGCTTGCGCATCAGATTCCATCCATGCACACTGCCGCCTGTGACATATCGTGTTCCAGTAACTATACTGGCACCGGTTTCCAGCTGCTTCCTAAAAGATGTCATGGATCGGCACGTTAGAAGGATTTGAGCAAATCGGGTATAATTATAGCCCAAAATGGATCAACCAAAGATTGCTTACTTGATGAAGCTTGGCAAGTATTTCGGCTGCAAAATGAGATTGAAGAAATAGATCAGCATATGTGATAGTAAATAGGCACTGAAGTGTTCTAAATGGATTTAACTGGTAGAAAAGGCATATAAAAACACAAAACTGCACTTGCATGATGTGATAGATCGGCATCCATGATTACAACAAAGTTTCCAGATACATGCTTCAAAGTTCAAACCATGTATATAAGCTGTTCCTGAAACCAATAACGATTCAAAGGTCAACTCCAGATTACTCCTGAAAGGGAATGATTTTCACTTACCCAATCCAAGCTTCTTAGCTCTCGGTCTCAATAACTGCATGATTAAGGGGAAAGAAGCAGATGTAAGCATACAAGTCGATTAGCAAAACCAACTGTATATGAATCAAATTTCAAAAGTATATTAGCATGGAACTTACTATACGATCTTCCCCATACAGTTTCTGCAGATGTTTCACAACTTCTTGTGTACCATCAGGGCTCCCATCATCCACAACAATTATTTCAAAATCAACATCCCTGCTCCAGGGCCCAGGCATGAGAAGTTACAACAGCTTATACCCGAAGATATCACGAATAGGAGGAAAGGTTTTTTAAAATAGGTAAACCTATCTATGTTAACTTATGTACTGAGTGTTATGTAGCAACATTGCTACTCATTTTGATGAATATAAATAAATCCATTATAAATCAGAAAATGTTTTCCCTTCCATGGTGTCATCTCAATTTCAGCAAAAACTCAGTTTCCACAAACACAATTCTTAGGAAATTTTAAGATATAGATATAGGAATTCGAATTTACAAAGACAATAAGTGGATCATTGATTAAAGTCCTGCGGTTGAATTTCACACAGGTGATGGTATAATTTTTTTTCGGCACTCTTTCCTTCCAACCAAACACCGAGTAAACTATTTTTCTACACCCATCATCCAATTCAAATCATTTCAAGAATAAAAAAACAATAAGATATATAAAATTACATATATAATCAGCAGAAGATTCAAAGACGGTGGAGACCCACAACATAAGCTCGATGAGAACAAGAAAAGGGCGCGAATTTAAGAAAAGTAACCGGAACTCCATTGGAGCTCGTCAAGAGACTATTATGAAAGAGATCCAAGTAAAAAGAGGGAGAAAAGGAGAGATTCCGGAGTTGTTAGGGACATACCAGAGATGTTTGAAGATGAGATAGACGATAAGAGCAATGTTGAGGCGCTCGTTATAAGTTGGAACTATTATACTGTACTTGTTCTTTGCAGAATCCATTCTCCTCTCCTCTCCAAAACCTTGACCTTTCTTAATTCTTGCTTTCTTACCCTTTTCTTCCTTTGAGAATTACTGCTGTAATTTGAGTTTTCAGTTTAGGTAAACTATCTGTAAAGTCACTATATTATAGTATTGTTCTATTTTAACCACTAAAGACTTTTTCAATTAGGTCACTAAATTATTAAAATAGTTTTTTTAATATCTCCATATTAGTTGGCAGCAGATAACTATAACGCATAGATAAGATCTCGAACAGATTCACGTGACACGTCAAATCAAATTCAATACATGACTATTAGGTCTACCTAATATGACAACCGATAAATAGTTACGATAAACCTATGACTGACACACGCACTAAAAATTATTATAAATACCTTAATTGAGATTGAAATGACGCCTTTTACAAATGTCATTCTCCTCTTCCTCCTTTATAATCAACTCTTTACAATATAAAAATATCAGTTAAATGATCATTCTTTCATCAGCCATGATTCTTCACCTAAATCATAAGAGATGAATCGCTCACGACTAACGAAATCACTTTGTTGTCATCAACAAATTTCAATCAAGTCATTACCGTTGATTGTTAATTGAAATGCTAATATAGAAGTTAAGTAAATTTGTATAATTATATTTTTTGTGACCGTTACTTATATATTTGATCTATTTGGTCCTAATTAATCAAATTGATAAAATTCATAGTTATATAGTCAAACTAGTCACTCCTATAATTTAGTGAAGTTTACCCTTTTATTTTTCAACGATGTCTTACTTCTATTAAATTGGGCTAACAGAGCAAGCAAAGCAATATATAAAACTCAATTGGGTAAAGGGCATAGTAGAAGACCCATCAAGCAGTGCAGAGTCAATTGGGCTAATCTTAGACCGTCCCTTTTGGGGCCGACATCTAAACCGGAGAGGGTGTAGAATGAGAATTAATCAGTGAACAGCCCAGCCGAGTATCATCTCTAGGGTTTTGCGATTTTCACAGAAGCAAAGCAGGCGGGCGAGAAACAATGAGTCGGAGTTTGGGCATACCGGTGAAGCTATTACACGAGGCGTCGGGTCACATCGTAACGGTGGAACTCAAGAGTGGAGAGCTTTACAGAGGAAGCATGGTCGAGTGCGAGGATAATTGGAATTGCCAGCTTGAGAACATCACCTTCACTGCTAAAGTACCTCACTTTTCCCTTTCCCCTTTATTTTAAGATGCCTCATAATGTGTGACTCCTTTATGCTTATTTCGATCTGACGAATTCAGGGTTTATGGTTTTTGCTGTGTTAGTGATAAATCTTAAAATGCTATAAACATTTGATTTAAATGTAGCATCGGAATCTGGACCTGGACTTAAGTTTATAAATAGGTTGAACCATTGAGTGGACTCAGCTGTAAAAGGAATTTTGTTCTCTCTATAGGACACGAGGACTCGGTTTCTAGCGGCTATGTTTGTACTATGTAGGATGTACGTGTTGTCAATTAGCTAAGAAAAATTGTAGTCAGATACTATATTGTAATCATCCCAGATTATTCCAAAAAAAAAAGTATCGGCAATCACTGCTATATCGTACTTTGTCTGAGTTTTGATCAGTGATGACGTTGTGTTATTCCAGTTTGTTTTTTGTTTCAGTCAAATTTGGAACGGATACCATGTCCTACAAATGTTAGGCTGTGAACTGATTTAATGAAGTAACGCTGTTTCCGAGTTTCTTGCATTATGGTTCCTTACTATTTGTTTCCGTTTTTCTTTTCAAAATCACTCTGGTTAAATTTGCATGTTTTCATCTTCCCTCTGGTTTACATGAATTTGCAACTGAATTTATAATGATTGCTTTGGCTTGGTTTCAGGATGGAAAGGTTTCACAGCTTGAGCATGTTTTCATCCGAGGCAGTAAAGTCAGGTATTATGACCGTCTCCCATTCTCTACCCCTCACCTTTTTTTGTTGTTTATGATGGGTTTAGATCAGACAAACTTGACTATTAATAGGAAATATACCGCAACAGGTTCATGGTCATACCGGATATGTTAAAGAATGCTCCTATGTTCAAACGTCTAGATGCTAAAATCAAGGTACATTTTACTTGCACGTTTATGGTTTTCTGACATATACTTGATGGAATATTTCTGACTTCGTTTTGTAACTTGATTAAGGGTAAGAGCTCATCTCTTGGAGTTGGCAGAGGTAGAGCTGTTGCAATGCGAGCCAAAGTAAGTTCATCCATCCTGTAATGAAGATCACTTATTCAGTAGCGTCCTTGTGTCTGTGCATGCGCATCAGTTCTCATCTTTAACTTAATTCACTCTTGTTTTGCAGGCTCAAGCTGCTGGCCGTGGCACAACTGGCAGAGGTGTTGTGCCATCTATTCGTAGGTAAGTGTTGATCCTGTGAAGTGCTTTCCAATCTCTTCCATCGGGAGAAGTATTCATCTTTGCAAGCTGTTTGGAAATTGCTTACTAGTAACCAAACTTGTACTCTTCATATTTGATGTGAAAAAATAAATTAGATATCAAAATAGTGCTCATTTGCTGTGTTCGAATTGAACAATTGCCAATCTGTTATCATTTCTAATGGCTTTTTGTTCACAAGGATCGGGTACTTTTGTTTTCAGTTCTGATTTTTATGCTTGCATAAAGAAAGAAATGCAAATAATGTCAAATTAGTTCTTTTATTCATAGGGGGAATATCCAAGTTTTCATGATCTAAACAAATATCTTGTTGGAACACTACTACAATTATTTTTCTCTGGGAAAGATAAAAAGGAAAATCTCATAAATCTCTGGGAAAGAGAAAAAAACGAAAACTAAATGAGAAAAGGCATTCTTCATGGACGAAAACTCCTAGTCAGTATCATGATCATAAACCCAGGGAGCAACTTGTGTTGCTCGATTGCACCCAAATCACCACCGGTTCCTACTTGGTGCTGCTGGATTTGATCAATCAAGCAGCAAATGCTTCTCTTTGTGCTAGGATTTGCCCTCCAACAGAAAAGTTGCTGGCTCGGTTTTTGCAGCATAACCATACTTAGATGTACAGTATTTGCGGTGTACGCCTGTAATTTTCCCCGACGCTGCCTTCTGATGGAAAATAACCATCATTCTTGAGCAATCCCTACACCAAAATACAAGAAATAACAAAAGTAAGCTTTGCAAGAACATAACTTTATGGTTACTTAAGAAGATGAGCTAGACGGACTTACATTAGTTGCTCTTCTGAGTAGTTAATATACCACTCACTGGTCTTGCTCCAGTGCTTAAACCCACCAATAGTAGACTGAGCAGTGAAAATAGCAGCGGCGGCTAATAAAGAAGGCGGAAATTGAAGCATTTCATACTCAACTAGGCAAAGCTCAATCATGAAGAACGACAGAAGTTCAAGCTGGTTCAAAGTCGCATTTAAAACTATCTCAGGTTAATCAATATTGTTGGATGAAAAAAGCAAAATGACAATGTTTTGTGGTCACAAACCTTCCTGCTAGATTGAGCAGCTTTGAGAAATCTCCTCATAAACACATACGGCGTTGGAAAAGATAGATTGAATTGTAAAGTATTGATCATCAATCTCTCCTGCAAATCAAGAGGTATGCATATGTATCATCCCCTATTACTTATAGATTCAATATATTTTAGAACACAATGTTGAATCACAAACCATGTCGAGCACTTCTTTCCTGTCGTAAGCCTTGTCAGAAATCAGAATCAGATCCTCTACAACCGGAACAGAAATTTCTTCGTATTTGCAGGCAACAAGCATGGCTGTTATTCCGACCAGCTGAAGTTTCTTCCTCACTACCTGATGAGCCGATAGAAACCTATCGATTATATTGACAGTCAGATATAGGGTTTCTTCCATCAACTCAAACTTGTAATGAACCTGTCAAATTCATGAAATTTGAATTACTACCTAATTCATCTCATAACAAGGAGCATGTCAATTAATGTAACATTTCGCTTACCTCTATCAGCCAGTCGATGAGGATAGCTCTCATCCTTCCGTTAATGTCTCGCTGTTGTGCCATATAGTTTGGAGGAACATGACCGGCACACTGCAAAAATCAATGAAAAAAGTTGAGAGAATCAACCACTCAGTAACTACTCAATTTAAGTTGCAAATGAGCATGAAATCACCTCTGCCTTCCTGTAGAACTCGTATAAATCATCAATGTACTCGACAACTGCAAGAGGATTATTTTTATCACAGTTGTCAATGTCCAGAAAAGGCTCTACATCAATGTCTTCCATTTCAACCTCCTGCAAATGGAAGCATAACATCAGTGCCTTTCAAACAAACAAACCCATGATACAAAATCGATCGATGAGTCAGTAAAGGGAAGTGTCCTATACCATCCGGTCAATCTCCTCGGACATAGCTTCAGCATGTTGCACAAACATCTGCATATCGGATTCATTACTTGCCTTGGTGTCATCCAAATCTATGACAATGCAATCATCAGGTTGATTTGGAAATGGCACCGGAAGGACTGATTCCTTGATTACCTGTAAGAGTAACTAATCATTATCATCAAAGTTTCAATAATACCTAAAAATTATCATTGTAGCATTAGTACCTGGGGTTTGATTTGCTGCTTGTTAGCCATCTCGGCAGCAAACTTCCTGATAAAAAGAACCATAAGCAAAAGAGGACAGAAGAATATGTCTTCTGGAAACCAAAACAAATCACAAAACATAAAGAAAATTTCACTGACCCAGTAATAGGTCTATGCACATGCGTGGATGGGATCTTATTAGAGACTTCATTTCTTCTGAATTAAACACAAAAAGAAAATGGGCAAAGAACATCAACACTATTCCTTTATTACAAATCATCATTTTTTTCTTGCTGCTGAGAAAAAAAGAAATACTCATTTTTGGCTACCAAGAGAAACCCACTCATATACATCATTTACTCGTATATTATTCAGGAATCAATCACAAACAAAGCCAACAATAGCAAAGAGGAAGGAAGAAAAAGGGGAATACTTTCTTTTCTGTTCTCGGCAACCAAACAGAGAGGATTTTAAGAAATTACTCACTCAGATAAAGGTCTCTTTTTGACAGCACATGGGACAGGTGGAGCTCCAAGCACATCACGGTTAATTGTGCACAATGCTCTTCGATTCTGCTCGGCCGCCGCCACAGACTTCACACCTCTGCCGGCACGCAAACCCCCTTTTATTTGAAATTAAAAAGAAAACACGTTTCTTTAAAAACTTGAAATTTCCACTAATTATTTAAACATCAAAAAATGGGGTTTAATCAGTCACCTTGAAGATTTGAGGGTCCAATAACTCCAGGATTGTTCTCGTCTGATCCAGCCATATATTCCGTATCTACAGACAACGGATTTATGGAATAAGAATCCCCTAATGAAGGTCGTCAAAATCAAGACCCGTCGATCAAAACTAAAGCAAATAATTTTTTAATGATTGAAACTGAAAGAAATGATAAAGACCCATTAAAGAAAGAAACAAATCATCTTCGATTAGAAAACAGTCAAGAACCTGTCTCAATTGAATTTTCCTCGTTGATCTTTGAACTCCAATCAGAAACCCCGTCTCGTTTGATGTTTCACTTCACGGAAAAAAGGGGGAAATGAAATTAAAAAGAGAGATTACCCAAATCTGTCATTTGCAAATGGACAGCAATGGAGTGATCTCTCTCTCTCTCACTTTTCTATTTTCTTTCTCCCTTTCTTTTTTTTGGGCGGGGGGGTTTCTTTTCTTTTACAGTAAAGGACCAAATTAAATAGAGGCCAACAGAACATCTCTAATTTCAAACCTAACGGCTACTTAATTGGATGTATAGTCACAACGCTTAACTCCGATGCCATGTGTTTTCAATTTGTAAGGCCTTTTTTATTACTATGGTAAACTGTACAAATGGTCACTGAACTTATTTAGTACTTGTACTTTGGTTACTGAACTTTTATTACATGCGATATAGTCACTAAAATTTTAATATACTTTTATCACAATCAGTGTCATTAAGAAAAAAACTGATTTAGCACTTTAAAATCGTTTTCCCTAAAGAAATCTTAAAGTATTCTTTCAAATCAACAGTCCTCGACCTTCTTTATATCCACATAAATAGTTATTAAACTTATAAAATAATTACATATTGTACCGTTATTATTTGACGACTTCTATCATTGTCAAACAAACACAACGCTCAATATACTAAAAGATATCGCCATCCTCAAACTTTTCTACCAGCTACCCCTCATATGATTCACTCAACATTTCTCAAAGTTCTTGACCAAGCATCAATAATTCATCTCCTACTTGGAATCATACTCTTCGCACTTCTTGATTCGGTTAAGGTTCAACTAAGTCGTGCAAAGAGTCGATTACGATGTTGTTTTAGGGTTTTGTACGGTCGAAACACAAGACTTTGAGTACATCGGACATGCTCGAGCTAACAAGTTTATTGGTTCACTCATCCATACGAGCTGATCATACAAATATGATTTCGAGATTAAAAATTAAGGGTGCGTTTGGTTCACGGAATGTAAGATTACCGGGGAAAAAGATTATCGGTGGGAATAAGATTACTGAGAATGTAATATTTTTGTGTTTGGTTCGTTTAACAAGAATGTAAGATTACAGTGTTTGGTTAAAGGAATAAAAGATTATTAGAATGTATATTTTAGCAAATTGTCCTTATTATATATTTGTTTTTTAACAAGTTGAATTCTATTATAATTTTACTATAATTAATTTATATATTTTAATTAAAAATTTTAAATTCATAAAATTCATTTAATTTTTTTACAAAATTGAAAATATAAATAGGTTTACTGAAAAGGTAAAATTTTATTTTAACCCCTAAACTTCATATAAAATTCTAATTATGAACTTTTTTTGCAAATCTAAAATAATTTAAGGATAAATTTGCAATTTGACCTTCATAGAATTTTTTTTATTCAACGACCGAAGAATGATATTTTTGAAAAAAAAAATTAAGGGTATTTTAGTCCAAAACGTCGGGAATGTAACAATACCTAAGGGAATGAGGAATCACATTCCCGGTAATCTTACTCAAAAATACCACTGTTGGGAATAAATGATTACCGGAGGTTGGGAATGTTTGTAATCCAAACAGTGAAATGACATTTCATTCCCCCCGATAATCCAATATTACCTGAATCAAACGTCCCTTAAAGGGTTTGATTGTTGGATGAGGAAACTCCGATATGGAGGTCAAGTTGGACCCTTGTTATTACAATGCATTAATTTCCCTCAAATGGTTGTTAAAAACACAACAAATCATGATTCATTTATTGTTTAAAAATCATTGTTACAAAGATATATGTTTGTTGTTGTTGATGTTTTTATTGTTCATATAGGCATGTGTACAGAAGGAAGTGTTTGGTTCCTCAACAATTGGGATAACAGTAGCACTTCAATGGTAACTGATTTCATCTTATGCAACTCCATCCAATACCCTATTAAATCGTTACAACTTCTACTTTATTCGTGGCAAATGATTGGATGGTAAGGATATTTTAGTTGTATTTGAGACTTGGATGAAACAACAAATTAACAGTAAAAAATTTAATATGACGAGTGTTACGTCTTTCGGTCGTC